GGACTCAACCCACAGCATTTGTGCTTACAGTGATTAACACATGAACAACTTTTGGCACTGCCTTTTAGATCAAGATCAGCTGAGATCGTGAAAAACAACATCACCAAAATATACCCTTTTGAATCCTCCCCAAAGTTCTTTCAATTGTTTTTAAAACCTGATGTTGCTCCAATTCACGCACTATGGTTTAACTTAGATCCAAGTCACGGTCTGTCAAACAAATGTCAAAGCACTTATGACAGCTAGATGCAAGAATTTTGCGATAACTTCCAGAAAGGTACACCAAGCATTCCTGGGGATGATCTCCGAGGAGCAGAAGGATCAGTGCTTTAAAGGGGGAAAAAAAGAGAAATCAATCTCTTGCAAGATAAACAATGGTTAGAAAAATAGGTATGCTCTGCAACTGGAGATATTTCAGGTCAGCATTAGCTGCATCTCAGTCAACAGCATTTAAATCGTACACTGAACATCCATGCCACAGCAACTAATGAGAGCGGCACAAACCAGCACTTTCCCTTTTGGATTACCATGGGACACAAAATCCTGTTCACACAGCTCCAAAGGGACAGAAGAAAACCTCATTGAAACCCATTTCAGTATCAGGAGCAATGCCCAATAAGCAAAGAAGTTCTTGTGTTATTTTCAGAAGAGACAAAATTCACCACAAGAGCAGAAAAGAAAGTTTATTCCATTAGTTACAAATATATTTTGCTTTTCTTTCTTTCAAGAAAGAAAACAACAGATTATGTACTACCTTCCTCCAAGAACAGAAAGTTGGTTTCCTACAGCAAAGCCACATGCTATTCTGCATGGAGACAGGAGGAGGGTGCTGGGGAAGGGCTTGTTCTGTTATCGAAAACCTGCAAAAATTGCAGGCTATTGCCTGACTTCAAGACTCATTAAAGCCAGCAAGAATGTTATGAACTTTAACAGCTTTTGAATGAGGCTCTACACTTCAGATTGCTATCACAAGAGACTACATCTCATTTTCTACAGTAAATTACCTCAGCACCCTTTAAACAGACTTAATCCAGAAACTATGGGTGCATTAAGTCACTAATCCATTTATTCTTCTCCATCAATAAACAGCATATGTTGCTGTCCAGGAGAGCCCAGAAGGAGATTCTTGAAACTGCTGCACAGCAGAACTTGAGCTTGGGTCTTCAGCAGAAGGAAAGGCAAGAGCTCCCTTCCTGCCTGTTAGCCAGCACCAGCAAAACTCAAGAAGACTGCTTAATTGACTACTGTGCGTCAATTTGAGACAATACCACTGAAAGTGTCTCATCTTCAAGACTAATCTCACAGTAGTTAGCTCCACTTTAATGGGTGATGTTTTATTTGGAAGTATACTTTTTTGAAGAATGTAAAATTCATTTCCTTTGATAAGGAAATTAATAAGGTTTATATCTTAATAAATAAGGTTTATATCTTAAAACAACCAGTAGATAGTAATAACTCCAATAATCTGAATACCACTCCTCAACATTTGTTTTTCATTTTATGATCATCAGTTGATCAAAAGGTAAATGAAGCATATAGGTAATAAAAAGTAACAAGAGATCTTGTTTCCTTCACCTAGCTCAGGGACTAATGGGTCAGTAAAAAGAAAATGAAAGACGAGGGGTTTTCTTAGTATAACATTCATAAAAAAAAAAATATTGCTTTGCTGTTAAAATTTAATGCATATTGGCCTGGAAATTTGTCACGTTCCTATTCCCAGAACAGTATCTGTAAGATCTAAAAATCTGTCATTATTCCAATAATGCTGATATTAACTTTTGACCAGTCAAAAGTTAATACATATACCCTCTTCATCTAGGACATATAGACCCTCTAGGGTCTACTGTGAGATTAGTCTTGAAGATGAGACACTTTCAGTGGTATTGTCTCAAATTGACGCACAGTAGTCAATTAAGCAGTCTTCTTGAGTTTTGCTGGTGCTGGCTAACAGGCAGGAAGGGAGCTCTTGCCTTTCCTTCTGCTGAAGACCCAAGCTCAAGTTCTGCTGTGCAGCAGTTTCAAGAATCTCCTTCTGGGCTCTCCTGGACAGCAACATATGCTGTTTATTGATGGAGAAGAATAAATGGATTAGTGACTTAATGCACCCATAGTTTCTGGATTATAGATTATACCCTCTTCATCTAGGATATATATACCCTCTAGGGGTATATATATACCATCTAGGATATATATACCCTCTTCATCTAGGATAAAGCTTCCAGGTGATTCACTAAACTGCTTTCCATTATGGTGTGTTTTATTAATTAATTTTCAGGACACTGAATGTCAAATATGACATTTACTGTCAAATATGACATTTACTGAAAATGAAGTTTTAAAAAAATGCAGCATGGCATTTTTCTATAAGATTATTAAAAAATAAAAAAGGATAACATGTTTCAGTTGAAAGTTAAATAGCATGCCCATCTTGCCTAGAAGGCACAATCACTAGGCTTCCATACAAACAACAGATCTTACTAGTGTGCCAAGTTTCTCTTGGGTTTATGTAAAATTACATAAAGTTTGGATATAGGCACCTTTGATCAATCTCACAGAGATACACAAAACTAGACTATGGCTTGAAATCTTACCAAATTACACTATATTTAGACCTGCTGGAAAATTCCCTGGTTATATCATAGATAAAGGCCAAGTTTCTTTGGTAATTTAAGCAACGGTATTGCATGCTTCACTTCACACTGAAATATAGCAGTCATCTTCCTCTTCCCTTAAGCCCAAAAATCTTCTTTTGAAAGTAAGCTGCTATAAACCTCTTGATATAAGAAACTCAGGGTTGGTTTATTCTCTGGCTGTCAGTGGTTCACAGGTAAGCCAGAGGCCTTTATTATCTCTAAGAATCTATCTAGAAAATAACCTACCTGGATCCAAAACGGAAGATGAATTAAAGCATTCCACAGGAAGGCAGCATTAGTCCACTCAAATTAATGGGTTGTCTCAAAGAGAAAAGCTGCCCCTACTGTTTTCATGGAACCGTATTCAACTTGTTTCTGTCAACTTGTCCAGCTTTCCATGGGCAAGTTACAGTGGTTTATATTGCCAAACAGCAGTTCCCAGTCTTATAACAATAGGGTATGTTAATGTTGGCAGCTATACAAAGGAGTCACATTTTCATACAGTTGTACTGTTTATGAACAATAGTGCATTTGGTATATACAGCTTTTCTTCAGTATCACCCATGCATACTTGGTGATTTTTTTTCTTAAGTACAAGCCCTTCATGTGTTCTGTTTACTCTAAGTATGAAGTGAAAAAGGTGAGTTCCTACTGTATTCATACAGTTGGGTACCACCCTATGTAGTGCACTCAGCTGTATTCATCAGGTTAGTGTAGAAGCAAGAAACCAGCTCAGGAAAATAAATGGAAGTTTTAGATTAGTTTTCTTGATCCTGTTTTTTTCTTGATTCAGCACTGGTTCAGATGAAGAAAAAAAAAAAGGAGAATATTGTGTCGTTTGAATCAGTAGCAGGTCCAGGAGGCAAATCCTGTCTCAGGGTGCAGTGCTCTAAGTATCTCTTGCCCCAGTAGGGGCTACTGGGGTGGAACTGACTTCTGTGAGTTCTCCCTACAGGCAATTAACGTATCACAGCTGCTGAAAACGCTGCTCCCTTGTTTCTAACTGCTCAATGCATTGTACTAAGTAAACTGACAAACTCCACAGGAAGGCTGCAGAATCGCCATGCACATTTTTAGACACTTGGGCATAACGCATCAGTAAATACGTTCAGATACAATCCAGTACCTGAGTAATGATGGGTAAGGCAGTAGCCTGAGGGTCTACATACAGGATACATCACCTTCTGCTTTTTACACAGCTCTGTTTGCTTTCTAAAGGTTGAATTAAGCGTCAAATACTACAGTGTGACATTTAACTGCAGGGACTGAGTCAGTGGTCTCAATGCAGTTCATGGGGAACAGCTATCACCATTAATAAGAAAATATAAAAACCTTTCCAGCTTAATGACAGGTCCCTCAAAATCATAAAAAAAGTCTGGTAATGTGAGAACTAGACTAATTGTCCCTCTGTTCTCTCTCTCCAGCCTTCCAGAAAAGGGTTATCAGAGGATCAAGCAAAAGCCTTTATTGCCAAAGTCCTTGCTGTGCCTATTCTAAGAAACTCCAGTCTCCATAGCAAGACAGCTACCCACATTTTCAGAAATGCAGGAAATAGTAAAATGGTAGGTATAATGCAAAAACAATCATTTGTCAAAAAAAGATTACTAGATACGGTTAATGTGCCTGCAAACATGCCTGAGGAGGGCTGCACATGCACTATAAGGCATTTTGCAATCTAATTTGGTTATGCTTGCCTGAAACATAACACAAATCCCAGCACAACACAGGCTCCTACTTAATTAGATTCCCTAAGAAAAGTCAGTCCGAGCCATATGGTATTTTCCTCAGCAGTTACGATAAACTGACCTTGATACTAGAAAAACGCACACTGCTTCTGTCTGAGGCATAAATTACAAGCGCAGAGTGGCGGGATGCTCCCGAGGAACGGGGGCAGCGCCAGTGCCACGCTGAAATCCTCCCCGAGCTCGCGGGGAAGTTGATCAAGAGTGAAACACTCCAACGATAACGACGATGATGATGCACTGCAGTGACAGCGCTCGAACAGCCACGCGGTCAGCAGAACGCCGCGAACATCTGTCCGGTAATTAAAAGCAAGCCTAATGCCGCGCTGCAGCGGAGGAGCGGCCCGCCTCGCCCCCGAACGCCGCGGAGGGCGGCGGCCCCCGGGCCACCAGCGGGACCCGGCCCCGCTGATGACCCCTCACCAGCGGGGCGGGGGGATCCCCCAAGGGCCGAGCGCCGCCCGCCCCCCGACAGGGCTCTGCGGCCCCGCCGCTACGGCCCTGCCGCAGGCCAACCCACGGCGCCGCGGGGTCGCGGCGAGTGAACCCTAGCCCAGCCCCAGCTCCGGCCCCAGCCCCAGCCTCAGCCCCGGCCCGCGGCGGCCGCGCCCCCGGCCGTACTCACCCTCGGCCAAGTGCGAGGGCTGCACCGCAATGGCAGGAGGACAGCGAGTGCCCCGCGCTCGGGGCACGGGCAGAGCCAGCGGCGGCGGCTGCGCCCCGTCACTCATGCACGGCGGGGTCTGCGGCCGCCACCTGCGCGGAGCCGCCGGGCACAGGTGCCCCGCTCCCGCCCGCACCGCCTGGCACAAGGCGAGAGCCCGCAGCCGCCGTCTCCTCCTCCTCCCACTGCCGCCGCCGCTGCCGCCGCCTCCAGCCCTCCCCGCTCCGCCGGACGCGCCACCAAGTGCTGCTGCTGCTGCGGTGCCGGCGGCAGCAGCTCCCGCCGCGCACCGGCACCTGCCCGGGCGCTGCCGCCAATCGGCGGGAAGGGGACGGGCGGAGGGCGGGAGGCGGTGTGCCCGGCAAGCGGGGTGTTGTGGGGGGGGAGGTGCGCGCACCTCCTGGTTCCCAGCGCACATCCCTAAAGCTGCGCCCCCGAGAGGCAGCACCGCGCTCCCGGGGCCGCTCGTCGCTGTCGCACCCCTGGCCAGGGGGAGACACCAAAGCCCCAGCTGGCCCCGCAAAGCAGGGAGAGGCACAGGTGCTGCTAGGCGGTGCCTGTCTGGGCTCAGCCGTGGTGCGGGCCGTGCGTGGTGGGGTCTAGCAAAGGGAAAGAGAGGCTGGTTGTTGTGAACGAGCGAGAATTCCGTGCTTATGGATGCAGCGTACCGGGCAGTCATAATGAAGGTGCGGCCTGGTCAGTCGTTCAGCTCATCAAGGAGTCGCCGCTGTAACGTGGCCGCGCTTTTTAATGTCCTAAATCACTGCAGACTGTACTGTATCAAGGCTAATTACTTTTCCCCTGGTGTTATTTTCCATCCCCGTTTTGTTGGTTTTTTTTTCATGCTTGCTTAACTTCATTTTAAAATAGCTGCAGCTGTTCACTGCAAGGTACAGGTTTATTTGATCTCAGCTGAAGTGCTCTGTCAAGACAGATGCATTCAATAAATCTTGGCAGTTTTTCAAGGAAAATATTTTCTAGGAGAGTATTTTTGTTTACCTTAATTTCATGGTATTACAAATAAACTCGTTTTGCAAATGTTTGCTTCTGTGCTAACCTACACTTGTTTGTGTAGTAAAACGGGTGCCACACTGTGAGGTAGAGATCACATTCATTTCAAATGTGTATGCAAAAAAAAACAAACCACAAACAAAAACAACTTTGGGAAGTACTCTGCATCAAACATTATTTTGTATTTCTCAAACACACCTATAGGTGAGTACACGTCTGAGTGTTTTCCAAACAGATGAAACTTATTACTTCTTTAAATAAAACTAAGAAAAAGAACAAGTCATTTTCAGCAGTAACATTTTTCAAGAGCAACATGACACGGCAACAAATCGAGGACTGACTTAAACAAAAGGTCACCCATTGCCTGTATTAAAAGAGTAATCAATAACACACACTGAGCATTTTTAATAATTGAAAAAATATTTGTAGAGAAATCCCTCTCCAATCTTACAGTTTCAGCTGAAACACTGAAAGAATAATGTTTAAAAGTCAGTCATCAATACCAATTAACTATAATGCTTAGGAATCCACAACCATGAGATCAAACAGGTGAAGCTATCCTACCTCTCACTCTCAAGATACTCAGCTAATATTGAGTTCAAAAGTAATGTTTTGCCTTTGCCTCAACATTATGCAATTAGATACACAGGAAGGTTATTCCTTTCTCTATAATATTTCACATTCTTATCCACTGGAGATAAAGCATTGGACTAGAGGCTCTTCTGTCCCACACCAGTACAATAATCAGTACGTTTTTACACGTTTATGCTCTTTTACTGCAACAGTACTCCAGGAGGAAGGTGTTAACTTAAGGCACAGCTAAACCAGCCAATAACTTACAAGTTGCAACTGAAAGAGAGTAAAGAGAACAAAGCATAAGTGCAGCAATATTGTAATGGCCTTATGAATAGTATGCTGAACTTCTCTACTTGAGTGCATCCCCTCCCTACTTCTTGGATGCCTTATTTGTCCTCATATACAGGTTTGGGTGTCTCACTTGGAAAGAAATATGCATCCATATGCATCCATAGCAACTATTTTTTGATGGATGCTGTTTGCAGTAAAAAAATCACACACACACACAAAAAAACCCCATAACATAAAACCACCTAACTAATATCTCTTTTTCAGAGATAGATGGGGAAACTGAGATATGCCAGGCTTTTGTCGGAATCACATGAGACACAGCCACTGAATAATTAAAATAAGTACCTAAATGAGCATGCAGAATAAAGAGAAGTCTAAGGAAGGGAAACTATTCAGCCATAGACAAGTCCCAAGTGGTAGCATAGAAATTTTTCCCCCATGAGCAATATATGCCCAAGCTCCTTCCCAGTGCCTACAACTGCAGAGCAGAGCAGGGCACTCAGAGGTGCAAGGGATGCTGGCAAGAGTGAGCAGTCATCAGGGAAATGGGAATACTCTGTATGTTGTGTCATATCCTGTAGCTCTGAAATTCCCAGTTCCCATTAAGTTCACAACAGTTAGGTTAAACTGCAGGCCATACAATCTTTCAATGATAATAACCTCAGTATAGAGAGAAGTAAAAAAGAAGTCAGACCCATGGTATTCATCTATAGTAACAGCAACCATGTTGCCATATGGTGCTAAATAAGCAGTAGCATGAAAAAAATCTTGTAGAAAAATAGGACAAGAAAATATGTATTTTCTTGCTGGTGAGTTTCTCTTGTCACAATACAGCCTTTTTCTATAAAGAAGAAAGTCAGCCAAATGTAGACTGAAATAAGCAGGCTGGTATTGCTTGGAAAGCTCAGCACTGAATCCAGTGATGCCATAACCTGTATGTGGCTTATGGGGCTGCAATGGCCAACAGGTGACTCTTCAGCCTGTCCCCAAACTTTGCTGTGTAACAAGCTGGCTGCACTTGTGTAAGGAGCTCAGGGCAGGCTGATGCCAGGGCCTGTGGTACCTGCCTTAGTCCCCTGGGGAGGAGGTCCCTCTCTAGCAAAAGCTTCCCTTTGCCCTCAGCATCCATGGAATGAGGCCCCTAGGCACAGGGAAGATTTCTGGAGCACAGTTCATATGGTCACGAATTACGGCCACCTTTTGTACAGTATATAAATTGGGTTTTGGGAAAATAAAATTTGTGCTGGTTTGGTATTCCTTCAGAGGATCTACAGGGGGATGCAGAAATATATGTTGGCCAATGCATGCAGTCATGCTGCTTTATTGATTCACCATCACAGACCACTCCGGGAGAACTTTGTGAAGTTTGCTTTCCGAATGTCCCAACCTTCTCAATAATGGTAGGGTTCTTAGTAAGGAAATTGGACATCCAAATGTAGACAGTACCTGCTGGAAAGCCACAAGCTGCTTTTTTAGCCATGGAGACCAATTATGAATTTATTCCAGTCTATTGGTATCTCAGGGCAGGAAATGAAGACAGTAACAAGTAATTAGAAGTCTCTTGCTTTTGGATGATCTCTTAAGACTTCAGAGTATTTTTACAAATTGTAGTTAACGATAATTTGATGGTAATAACTGGAAGTCATTGTATCTTTTTACCTTAGGGTCTCAAAGAACTTCATAAATAAAATTCATTTTATAAAGTGAGTATGCAAAATATGGACTATTTTTATAAATCAGTTGAAAAAGGTAAGTATTTCGTAGTCAGTCCATAAGCAAATAAGAAAGAAGTGAAAGAGCTGAGAAGAATGGAAAAAAATTTAATAGTAATTAATATGTAGGGCATACAATTTGATACAGCACCTTGCCATGACTTTTCTTTGGAGATTTCAACAGGCAGGTTCCCTACCCTGCAAGCCTCACAACACATGCAGGAGCTCTGACAAATGCTAAGTGTGAAAAGAGAAAAAGGAAAGCTGAAAGAAGACAGAATTAGGGTTATAAACCTACACTAGCAAAGGAGACAGCTTGAGGAGGTTTTGCTATTTAACTCGCAGCAGCAGAACTTAAGCAAGATAACACATTTAAAAGAAACAAACTTATCAATGTCTCACAACTGGAATGGAAACACTAGCAGACAAACTGTAACTGACAGTAAAAATTATTTGTTATGATCAGTGGGGGGAAGGCAAGGGGGAGATTTTTTTTTTCTTTTTATGGTGGTGATGGTTTTGTGGTCAATGAAAAGGTAACAACAGGAATATGAGTTAGTAAGAGAGATGGTAGAGAAAAAAAATTATGGTAAATGGTAAGAGCTACCTGTCATTACTGGAAAGAGTAATCAAAATGAGAATAAACTGCAGAAGAGAACATGCTGCTGGACTGCATCACTGCTAACACAGATTTCCTTATTAATTCAGAGTGCATAAATGCAAGCTTGAAGGTATCTGCAGAAGAAGCTACATGCAAAGAAATGAAGGGTCTTCACTTATGCCTGCTACCAAATGCATATGGGTGAGGACAAGATTTAACTGCAGGTAAATGGCCGCTCGTTTCTGCAACTAGAAAGAAAATTCTTTAAAAAGTGTGATGAATTCTTCAATTTCCTTTCACTTCATTTTGTGGCAGTGGCTGAAACACATGCAGTGAGTGTCCTTCATCCTCAGGGGTTTTTTTAGCTTGTTTGTTTAATTTTTACATCAATCATTTTCCCCACCTTTCACGCAATAACTCCCTCTTGCTCATCAGTCTGAGGACAAGCAGTTTCAGGAGGGATATGGTCTACTGAAGCTTTTCTTTAAAGCTGCATTTGTGTCCTGTGCAAAGTGGTGCTGAGGATGTGGTAGCACCTTTAGTGTGGTTCAGCTCTGCTTTCTTCTTTACAAATTAAAAAAAAAGTGAAAAAGCTGTGTGATGCCCAGGGGAGGAATAGGAAAAGCCATGAAAGTCTCCAGCTAAACAGGAAAATGCTCTTATTAAATCAGTTTTGACTTCACAGATTCAAGCACTGAACAAACAGGAGTGAGTGTTGGTTTAGCTCTTGATCTTTTGTGTTCAGTGGTATTTTCTTTCAGCCTCATTTGATTTCTTTGTACCAGAATCAACAGATAGCTGTGAAATTTTGGGTTTAAAACAAACCCATCTAAAACTATTATGCCTGCAGCTCTCTGTTGTGTTTGTTGGTTCAATTTTTTTAGCACCATCAGAAATTTTTCATTTGCTTTTAAACATAACTTTTACTTAATGCCTCCGCTACCTAGAGCCAAGTCTACAAGACTACAATAGGTTATTTTTCATAGAAAGACCTATTAAATAATTCTCTTAT